TGACCTCTTCCCTTGCTCCGTACCCCACCCCACCTCTGCCCTCCCTCCTTCCATCTGCCCTCCCTCCGCCCGACTTCACCCTGCTGTCTTTCCCCTTCCTCCCGCCCTCCTTCCACTTCCTCCTCTTCCTCTTCACGCTTTTTCCCTTGCTCGTCTCCCCCTTACCTCTTCCCTTCCTCCATACGTCACTCAACCTCTAAACTACATTCTGCTTTCTGTCCTCCCTTCACCCTACTTCTCCCTGCCGCCTCCCTTTTCTCCCGGCCTCCTCTGGACCTTCTCTTAAACCTCCCTCTGCCCTCCCTCACCTGGCCACCTGACTCCCCTTCCTTCGCCCAGTCTCCACCTGACCTCCTTCCCTCTTCCTCCCCTTCCTTCCTTGGCCCGATCTCCACCTGACCAATCTGCTTCCGCCCTACTCTCTCCCGCCTTCCCCCTCCCTACAGGCCTCTCTGCACCTTCTCTTCAACCTCCCTCTGGCCTCCGTCCGCCTGGCCGCCTCATTCCCCTTCGCTCGCCCCCTTCGTTCGCCTGATCTCTGTCTGACCTCCTCCTTCCCTCGATCTCCTCCCTCCCCTTCCTTCCTCAGGCCAATCACCAATGAACACACTCCCTTCCTCGCCGGATCAACGATGAACACCGAGCACCAAAGAAAAGCACGGATCCCCAATGAGCATGTATCCACGATGAACACCGAGCACCAAAAGCACGGATCGACGATGAGCACGTGATCATGCACCAAAGAAAAGCACGGATCCACAATCGGCACGAAAAGCACGTATCCACGATGAGCACCGGGCAATGCGAGCATGAAAAGCACATATCCACGATGAGCACCGAGCACGAAAAGCACGTACCCACGATGAGCACCGAGCACAAAAGCACGGATCGACGATGAGTGCGTGATCATGCACCAAAGAAAAGCACGGACCCACGATCAGCACGTGATCATGCACCAAAGCACGGATGCACGATCAGCACGTGACCAAAAGTACGGATCCATGATGAGCACCCAGCACCAAAGATGAGCAGCAAGTTCCCGTCGAGCGCCAAAGGAGAGCACAGT